GGTTTTTATATATATAGTTATATATATACACAAGTTTTGGTTTATGGACTTAACAATTATTGTATACATATTTCATTAAGTCTATAAAATTATTTTATAGGGTTTCAAACATTGTTTATGTCAAAACATCAAATTTTATGTATATCACATTTTTATGTTTTGGACACACTTGCAAAATACACGAGTTTTCACAAATGGGAAACTCAATTTGAGAAATTCTTTTTCTAACATGTTCAATTTCATGTTTATAAATGTTTTCCAAAGTTTTATTAATTTTGGAATTAATTTGTTATGTTTATTTGAATTTACAAAATTAAGTTTTTAATAAGCTCATGTTCGTGCATGTTTTTGCAAAACTAATGTGTTTTCACAATTGGGAAATGCGATTTGAAAATTTTCTTTGTTTACATGTTTATCATCATATATACAAATATTCCCTAAGTTTTACTAATTTTGGAGTTGTTTTGTTATTTTCAATTGAATTTACAAAACCGAGTTTTCTGTAGTTTTTTCAGAAACTATATATCTGTGTTCAAATATTTATTTCTCTCAACTGGAAGTGATATTTCAGAAATTCTTTCTCTAACATGTTTATATACATGTGTAGAACCTTTTATTAAAATTTTATAATTTTTAGAGTTGATTTACTATTTTTAATTGATTTTACAAAGTCAGGTACACAAAATTCTAGAATCTGTCAAAATCAGAAACTGTCCATGAACAGTGCGGTCGACCGCTACAGTCGACCGTGCTACAGTATGGACTACCACCACGGTCGACCGTCTGTAGTCCAGAGAGCAGTTTTGCAGTTTTATTTCTTGCGGTCGACCGCCACGGTCGACCGTCGAAGTTACTGTTGCACAGTAATGGTAACTTGCTGATTTTTATTTTTCAGTGGGTTTTTGGGGGTTTTTGGGTTGTTTTCTTCTTCCCTATATATACCCCTTTGTCATATCTATTTTTTTACAATCAAAAGATGTTTTAAATAAGTTTTTACAAGGGTTTTAAGTTTGTTTAAGTGTTTGTTTACAAAATTGAGTTTGTGAATATTGTCTCACAAGAAGAGGATATCAACTTGGGTTTGAGCTTTCAATTTTACATTTCCATCTCTCTTATTCTAGAGAAGTTTTTCTAAACTCAATTCTAGCTTTGCATTTATATTTGTCATTGATTATTATCTTCATTAAGCTAGATTTATATTGCGTTTATATTTGATTTTGTTGTTTCTCATTGTTTGCACACACAACCATTGAGCCTTAGTATTTTACACATATTGTATATTTGGGTTGTGGGGAGTGTATCATTGAGAGTGATCTACATTGTGTTCTTATTCATTATAGAGAACAAAACATTGTATTTGAACTTATATTATGAGTATCACTTGTAATACACTTGTACACCGAGAGTAGTGTGTAGTGAGAGACGAGGTTGAATCTAATAGGAGTGGCGTCGGTTGGCGAACCTAGGAAGAGGTTGCATCCAAGCACTTGAGGAGGAGGATACGGACTAGGCCAACACTTAGAGGGTGTAGAGTGTGATTGCAAGTGTGTAGTTGTAAAGTTTTTGGTTAGCTAGAAAACCGAGTGTGAGGTGTAAACGTTATTCGTGTAAGCGTAGAAAACCCGGTTGTGATAGTGGAGATCTCCTCGATGTGAAGAGCGAAGACATAGGTCAAGTGGTTAGACCGAACTCCGTGATCATATCGTTTTGTTTGTGATTGCATTGGCGTACCTATCCTTGTATTCATATCTTATATCGCCTTTGTGTATTGCTCTTCATATTGACCTATCACATTTGTAGATTGTTTATTTTTTCTTGTATTAGTTTATCTATCATTGCATATAATTTACCATATATCTCATTGCTAGGATATTGCTCTTTGGTTATATTGCTCATTCTTGCTTATAATATATTATATATCTATCTTGTAAGAATAACTTGTTAATTAGTTTTAATTAGTATAAAATCAAATTAGATTAGCATAATACCCTAATCACTCCCCATCTAGGGTCTAACAATAATAAGATTAAGTAATATCACTTCTTCATGAAATAAACATATCAAATAAAATATTAAGATTATAATTTTAGGCAAATTAACACTAAAACATACAGATATTTAGTTTAGATCCTCATGAAAATGACATAGACATAGCAAATGTAATATTATTGACGTAACAAAAACTCTTATTAGATGCATAGCAGAAAAATTCATTGCACAGAAAAAAGTAACTTTAATCTTGTTTAAGTAATAAATTAAAATATAAAAAAATTTATATATATGAAATTAACATTTATTTTCATTAAAATTAGAAAAATCAAATTCTATACTTCTATAAGTTTGTATTGACCATCGGAAATGCATTCGACTCCTTTATGAAGTTAGATGAGATTATAAAAGATTAACGAGTCCAGAAAAGATAATAGCACAAGAAATCCAGCACTAATCTGATGTCAAATCGATGTAAATGATAAAGACGATACTCTAAAATTGCCCAAGAAAAAGATAAAGGTGAAGAAGGATTGATCTCAACTCAATAAAAAAAACAAAATGAATAAAGGAATAATGCTTTCTGAATATTTTATAGAATAGTTTAATTATTTTGAATAAAAATAGGAATTTTTAGAAGAGATTTTCATGAACTTTTTAGTGCTTTTATATGCTTATGTGGATATCATATAAAAGTGTACTAAAGTTAGCTATAATCTTTAGTTTGTGATTTTTTATGAAGTCTATCAATGATTAAGAACAAACTCTATAATCTTTTTTTTGTTATTTTAGCCCACTTTTAATCAATCATCTTGCTTTATTAGCTTTAATTATTTGTCTTCCATGTATAACACTATTTTTTTAAGTGTTTTTCATTTCTAGAATACTATACTTTCTTAGGTCAAGCTTGATTTCATATCAATTTAAATAATATAAAAGTTCAATTTGGCTTCAGATTATATTTTTTTCTATTAATTTAATTATCAACATGAAAATTTAAATTGAGTATAGCCTATTCAAACAAATATCAAAGAAAATAAATAATAGTCATGCTAAAGCTTAAAGACATAAGTGAACAAAAACTCCTCTAAGTGGAACTGACGAACAAATTTTAATAATAAAATAAATTAGAAAATACTTAATCATGATATTTAATTACGTGCACTGCAAGTGCATAAAACCTACTAGTAATAAATTATATGGCTAAACTTGAATCCACCCCGAAGGAAAGAAGATAGAAGTAATTATAGGGTGTGTGCGCAAAAGAGTCATCGAAATTATGACATGTTTTGCTCAAAAGATGATAATTGAAAAATACAAATTTAAATTTATATGATCGTAAATATGAAAAATAAAAAAAAGTCTTTATAGGATGGTAAAGTTAGCACTTATCAACATGATACGTGGATTCCCCTCTGGAGAACATTTGTGAAAAAAAAATAAAAGAAATGACTTCCTATGGCGCACAAGTGACACCATTTAAATCTAAAGCTTTTTCTTTCAAAAAAAATCCATGGACTTCTCGTTTTTGCAAGCTATTGCTTATTTTTGGGTAATACTGTTGGGATTGTGTCTTTGATTCTTTGTATAACTTTATTAGAATTAGATAGAGTTAAAGATCTATCATGATTAGGAGTTTGAATCCTATTCTAATTAGGAAGTTAGGTTAGAGATAGAGTTTTTGGTTTTCTTATATATATTCTTCTATTGTTGGAGGAAAAACCTAGCAGATGAGAGAGAGCAAAAATTCTTGTAATCTAGGGTTAGTAGAGGGCGCAGTCTGATTTAAGAATATTGTGCGAGAGGCGAGGGTTTCGTAGTCTTTGCCCGTGCAAAAGCTTATATCATTGGGAGAGAGTTTCGCAGTCTTTGTACGTTCAAAAGGTTGTAAGGAGAGAGTTTTGGAGAGAATATGAGAGTTGATTATGTATATGAGGTTGAGAGATTTGGAGACGAGAGTTGAGTGGTTCCTATTGTAGTTCTCCCTAATACATAGTGGATTTCTTGTATTGTTGCCCCGTGGACGTAGATCTAAGTTTGTCGACCGAACCACGTAAATCTCGGTGCTCTTTCTTCTTGACTGTGGCTGTTTTATATATTGTTGATTGTGGGTTGGCTTCCAAGTTGCACATATTGTAGTAGGCGGGGAGAGTAAAATTCCCCAACAAGTACTGTATACTGGGTATGTGTTATGGACAAAAAATATTGAAATCATTATCTGAGCATGCAATTTTTAGTATCAATCAATTAAATTTGCATTGTATAAATTTTTTTGAAGTTTACGTACATACATGCAATCACCTATATTTAGATTGGAGATTTATAAATATTATAAGGAATATATATATATATATATCTTCCAATGAGTTTATCTAATTAAATTAATATATTTTTTGCAGCTACTTTGAACCAATCCTTTACATCTTGATAAATACAATTTACTTATCAAAAACACGATATCTTACCACAGAAGTCTAATGTTGAAGGAAGGGCAAAAGTTATCTCTAATGCAACAAAAGAAAAGATCGAAACCGCTAAAATAACAAAAAGTATGTTTCTTCACTTTGTACAAATATAGATGACTTACTTACACATGAAGCCTCTCTCTCTCTCTCTCTCTCCAAATCCCAACCCAAAAACCAAACCAAACCCAAAACCCAAACCCAACCAGCCAACAAATCCCCATGCATGCATGAATTCTATCGCATCAAACCAAAACTCGCATATTATAAGCCCCCCCTCTCTCTCCCCTCTTGTACGTTTGGAAACAAACTCATAACTAGAGCTCTAGTAGAGAGAGAAACAAACCTTTGAGCTCTAGAGAGAGAGAGAGAAACAACAAGCACTTAATCCTCTCTCTCTCTCTCTTTCTCTCCATCTACAATCTTTCCTCTCTTCATCTCCTCTTCAATTGCTTCTCTGTTTCAATCTTCCATCACCAATCTCCCAAATTTCCAAAATGCCCCTATCCTAAAATCTCATAAAGCTCCGA